ACATTTTCGTTTTTTAGTCATAAGTATATATAAAAGGCAAGATAGAGCCAAGCAGCCTTCTTGACAAGGCTTCAACTTGAGACTTTTACAAGAATGAGTTCCAGCTCTGATGATGTCAATGATATGATGGACGAAAGCTTAGGCCCTTTCGCCCGAAATGAAAGAGGATGTCTCGTGGACGGTATCAACCAAAACATCGTATTAAAGACAAACGGGTGCAGCACAACGGGAATCGGCCGCCGTCTTCTGATGAGATCGACTTTCGAATCCCTACTTATGCACTTTCATACGAAATGAAAATCTGTCTAATAATAATAATTGATAGAACACAAATTAAGGCGGTCACGATATAGCACATGCTCCGAGCCTTATAAAGCGTATACAAAAAACCTATGGCCAATTTACCCAAGTGGCAGCTATCGATCTCGCGGTCTCGGTTCTATACTTTTTATCTTCTGCGAGCATTATTTCCTCGTCTTCATCTGAATATAGTTGTCTAGATGCCGTGAAAGCTGAGCCATCCATTCGGGTTGGAGATCGAGGTTGCAGCCCTTCTACAGAATCCGAGATACCAGCATGGTGACCAGTGCGTGAGTGACCGGCCAAAATCTCGCGGCGGACCGGATGACCAAGCAGGCGTTCGTAGAGCAATGGCGAGCGAATGCGAAAATTAACTATCTGCATAAAGTTCGCATGAGTGTAAACAAAATACAATTATACTACCAAAAAGCATGTACGTTTAAAAGGGAAAAATAAAATTATCTATGTAAAAAGGCGTGACCAGAGACCCAGTATTAAATTTTTCTATACCAAATAAAGCATAAGCCTAGTCGGCTTGCAAGCCAAGGTTGGATCAAATGTAAGTTTGGACGGTTTAAGTCAGTTAAATATTATTAATAATATCCTTGATCCAAAAATATATACCATTGCCAGAAAAGGCAACATTAAATGACTAGAAGTGAGGGCTTTCTAGCAACTATATAAATCGTCCTGAAGACACCAGTGGACTTCACTTAGCCTTACCTCCCAAAAAGGTATTGTTATCCAGAGTGGACTG